TTTTGAGAACCAAAATATCATAACATTTTTAAGTAAATAATAATTTATTTATATGATAATCACATATGTTTTTTTACATTGAAATCTAAAAATTTTTGTAAAACGTATTTATATGAATTAAAAATGTTACAATACCTCAATAAGACTAAACATGGGGTTTTACATCTAAAACTACACAAGAATCTACTTGGTACCATCATCAGTATTTTCCACGAGCAGTAAAAACAGCATGAAATTAATATTTTAAATACATTCATAATTTCAGAAAAAGGTATGTTTTAACATCGGAAGAGATGTTTCCAGAAAATGAAAGAGGAAAAATAATAATGAGTAAATGCAATAAAAAAAGCAGTGACAGTTAAGAAAAGGAAAGGTATTACAAAGAAGATGAATCAAAAGGACTCTAAGAGACTGGAAGTAAATCTTTTTCTCTTTTATAGTTGTACAATTTTAAATGAATAATTATGAGACATGAATACCTAATAAATGATCTTCAACATTAAATCTATTATTGAATAAATCAGTAAATTCATAAAAAATTTCAACCATGATTAGGTGCATCTTAACTAAATACTATTAAAAGATTTGTTATTTAGTTAAAATAAATAAAGCCTGTAATTTTCGAATAAATTATCTTTGTGACTTAGTTCAATGTCGGGATGTTTCAATCTAAAGTTTCTGTATTTCAGCTGTATTTTTATTATTCATTAACAGTCTGGAAATTTTAGTGGAGTTATTTAGTGTAAGCCTAATTTATTAGTCTGTTTTAGCCCTGATCACATTGATGGATCTGGTTATAATCATTTCAGGCGTTACATTTTTGATAAGGAACTGCTAAAAAGTCAGATCCGGTCTTACTTGAAGCTTTCACAAATAACCACCTGGATTATTCTATAAAATGAAATTAACTACTAAATGTTCCTCATTTTTATATTACTCCCTTTCAACTGAATTTCCATTCATTACTTAGTATATCTAATTTTAAAAAATATGTTATTTCTAAAAATCTTTTCTTTAAAACTTTTATTTAATTAGCAGAAACACTCATTTTGAATTAAACGGAAAAGATGAAACTGGAATTTCTGGGATATAAAAAAATTTAATGAAAAAAATATAAGAGGTAACATTTTTTATAGAAAATAATGCATCAGTTGTCTCTGTAAATTTTAAAATTATGTTATTCTACGTAGAACAAAGTCTAAATATTATCAAGAGTTGGAACTTCATCTAGACTATCTTTTTTTTACAAGGTAAAAATTTTTTCACATAATACCATTTGGGTTACTGATAACCTACATTGTTAAAAATAATTATAGATAAAAAAACCAGGAAAAATGTGGTATATGACAAAATTACTATATAATTTGAGACATCGTTTCAACAATACTATGCTCCTTCATGCAGATGTCACAAGTATCTTATTATTTTAATCAATATTTCTGAAAGATAATACATAATTATTACATAGTGTCAAAGAGCTATTCGCACAATAATCAAATTCGAAAAATTTTTTAAACAATATTTAATAATGATCATCATTTCCTTGAACTTTTTAAAGTAAATTAGTAAAAAGTATTGTCAAATAGTCAATATCTACCAATTTGATGCAATAAGTATAAAATTATTTTGGCCTGAAATATAATCATATTGGAGAATCACTCTTCATTCTAATATATTCTTAGAATTTCATTTATATTTTTAGGTTAATTATCATTATATTCTAAAAAAAACCACATAAATATTTTAATACTTGCATGATTTTTCGAATTAATGAATTTACGCAATTTTTTCATTTTGTTTATTAACATTTGGAATAAATTAAAATTTTTTTGGAAATTACATTTTTAACTACTCTTTTCAATTGAATCAGTAAATATTTACAGACCTTCAGTATCAATTGTATTACTTTTATATAGATATACAACAATTCCATTGACTTTTTTTCAAATAATTAGATTAAAGATAACATCATTGGATATTTATAGATTTTACTTATCTCTCTATTTATTCATTTCTATATGAGGAAAACCAAATTAGGAAAAATAATTAAGCAGAAAAACTACGCAATTTTTTCAACTAGGCATAGTCATAAATAAAACCAAAATAAATCATCCTTTCAGAAATATAAATTTCTAAGTCGAGAATAAAAAACCCAAGTATACTTTTATTTAGAAATAGATGATGTATTATACTCAAATCAATCATAATTAAATTTGTACTTATAAATTAATGAACATTCACTATCCTGCAATGATTTTCGTTAATTCATTTCCAAAGTAAATATATAGCTACTATGAAAACCAAGAAGGAGATTATTATCAGTTCCAGTAATTACACGTTATGATGTTAATCGGATAAAACTTGTAGCAATAATTATTAGTTAGATAATAGTATTAAAAAATCCTTCAATTTCTAAAATCTAAAACTTTCCCTTAATTAAAGGACCATAAGAAAAATCTCGTGATATTTGACCTGATTTTTAATTTTTTTTAAACAGCTTTTTTCATCATTTCATCAAAATACTTCAAAGTATTGATGATAAAATGTGAAATTAGCTTATCAACATACTTGACATTTTTTACAATTACTCTGAAAAAGGCAAGTAATTTAAAAAAGTCAATCTAGAAAAAAATATTTATACATTTTTCGATTATAAAATCTAATTTACAATTTTAATTAACACCTTACTCTCTAAAAATGAAACAGCAAAAATCATTACGAAACGGTGTATTTTCACTGTTCTGTAATCATAAAAGTATCATTATTTGAATCAGTACTACTATTATAACTGCAAACAGTGAATATTCACTAATTAATAATTAGAGAGTAATAATAATCTATACTCTTTCAGTAGATATTTTCCCATGTTATTTAAATTTCGTAAAAAATCAATGACCTGTTAACGAGCCGCATTTCCTTAAGATTATCGTAAAGCTACATAATAGCAATCTTTTCTAACCCGCACAACTGAATAACGTTTAACTAAGAACAGTTAGCTATAAGAGCTAAACTATTTAATTGTCTCTGGAATAATTCCTTCCGTTCAATAAAAACCTCCTTAACGTTTCCACTTATTCATTTTTACGATGAAAATTTTTTTAAATAAAACATAGTTTAATGCTGGAACCAGTTTTTCACAGTTAAACGAATGCCTTGATAAAATATTTTAGCAGAATGTCCATCAACACAAGTTAGCTTTTATTATCTCGTGCTATATCCTGAATTGTGTTAAATTAAACGTTAGATAAAATTTCCAAACTTTGTTATACACTCAACGGTTTCTTAATTAGATGATATAGCATAACCACTTCTGCATTGCAAAATATTAAGCAAGCATGAAATGAATGGAAATATTATTTACTTACTTTATTGTCTGACTAATTTTATATAATAAATTAATGCAATAAATAAACTTCTTTCATATGTTTTTATTTGAAGATATAATTTTCATTATTTTCTTTTCTTTGAATTTATCTATTTAAAAGAAGAACAAAAAATGGTACTTTAATTAATAAAATATTTTACAACACAATATCTCACATAATTATAATCACCACGTTTACCTATCAAAGCCGTCTCTTGATAAAATAATGACCAGCATTTTAACGTTAATATTTAATAATTTAAGCCACGCAAAAAATGAATGTTTAATAAATTCTAATGGATGAACAATCACTCAAATAGATGAATTAGAATAAATAATTTTTTATTTTCGTTTCTCTACAGAAAATTATAAACTAATTTAACAAAGTTTAAAACTCTAAATTAAATATTGAATCCATATGTAATACTAATTTAGACGAATAGGATAATTAATTATATTACATGTTAATTAATCAGATAAAGTAGATACCACGAAATTTTTACCTCCTTATGAAATATAATCATGAAATTGATTAGTGTTAGTGAGTAAAAGTTTCCCGAAGAATTTGTAAATAAGTTACAATAACAGCTTCCGGTGTAAATTCAGTGAGATCTTCTAATTTATTAAATATTAATATTTTCATCAGATATCGGAAATACGCCAGATGTTTATATGAAATGTAATCATTGGGATGAAAGCTAGGATAATTGAAAACATCGAGGGACGGAATATTTGACAAATTTTGGTATTGTTTTGAGGGTGAAGGGAGAAGTGTTGTTCAGCAAATAATAATTATAATTATAGCTTGTAGATAATCGAAATTGATTCATTACATGTGATATTAAATGCAATCGATTGTATTCGTATATTTAGATTCGAACAAAAATAAATAAATAATAAGAAGAGAGAAATAATACTATTATAATGTGATTTAGATAAAAATAATGAAAAACGATTGATGAGCTATTGTTATTTTATCTAACTAATGTGAAAAATATGATCATTAGTGGCACGAAGAGGATATAAAAAGATTATTTATCGGTAAAATTTGGGTTAATGATTTCTATAAGTAACTAATAAACGGAAGGAAAAGGGAAAAAGTGTATTGGCTATTGGATATAATTTTTAATGAAATTTTATCATCGGTTTAAAGTTATAAATTCTTTGACAGTTTTTCCTCATACCTCCTATCGCAAATCGTTACGATTCGTCGGCGTAATGTAGCGTGTAACCCCTGAGAGATGAAGGAAAAACAAATTACAAAGATACAACTCAAAAAAAAAAAAAAAAGAAAAATGAAAAAACAAAAGGGAAGAAAATAAAATCCAATCCACTTTTAATATCATCTAAATTCCAAGCATATCCCATTACTTGATCCAACAAAAACATATAATAAAGAGAATATCTCTTGAATGAATTATTCTTACGGAATTACAATTAAAATGTACCCGTTAAGTCTATTCGCCTCAATGGCACAGAATGAATATCGTAATACTGAAAAGATCATTAAAAATTAATGACACTGTCTTCAACTTGACGTTATAGCGACGGTGAGAGTCTTTCTGTGGATAGTGAAGGCTGATGAAAGGATATTTCTTTATCTAGTTACTAGAATAATGAGATAAAAAATTTTTACCTGGGTGTGAGTAAGTCCTAGCACTTCCATATCCAATAACATTTTCGATAAGACTAAGAGCAAGAAGAAGTAAGAAGGATCTCAAGACCGCAGCGTTGATCGTCTCGTTGACCGGCGGTAATCCTGCCTGCCGGCGAACGTTGCTCATCCCTTTTCCGTACATTAAAAGCCACAGTCTGATCACAATTGGTCCTTTCCACTACTACTACTTCTTCTTTTTGTTTTTAATGCTTTTTATCGAGTCTTTGTGTTCAGTTACTTGTCAACAGGATTATAGAAACACCGATAAATGAAGTGTGAGAAAGGAATCAAAGCATTCTATTATATTTGAGAGTTATAAATAATAATGATGAAAATAAAAATAATTTTAAACACACTGACAAAGCTTGCCCTCGAGCTTTCGTTTCTAACGTGGGTAGTTGTCGCAACGCCTCGTCAACTCGTAGTAACTTCCTCGTGGGGCGCACGTGCGCCCACAATTCCAAAGTGTATTCTCATCTCTCATGTTCACTGATCGCTTTCACCACTCTTTCAAACCTTTCCACTTTTTTTAATATTATTTTCTTAAATTTCTTTTCTCACACGAGAGATCTCTGAGTCCGGCTTTACTGATGCCTCGTTTTTCAACTTAAATCCCACGTTCTTTTCTTCACTACGTCCCTTAGGATTTTTACTATCAATTTTTCTTCCCATTCCACACTACATTGTGACTATTTTTCGCGCGCTCTCACTCATGTCATTGGAGATGTTTTTTAAAAATTTCCTCATTATAAAATATATTATTGACAATGAAAACAAATATATTTTATTTACAATGTAACACACGTGTCACAATAAAATCCAGAAAAAAATTTCACATAAAAAAGGGTAAAAATATATCGTATCAACTCCTCGTGTTATATTATGAGCGAGTGTAAGATATCATCCCTTAAGTCTTCTCGAGACTTGGTCCTGGTTACGCTGTCCCGGGCCGTGGACTGCCGCTGCCTGGAAACCCTCGGAGTACGGAGGATGCCCGTACGACCCCACTCTCACAATTCGCCTCGCGTTTTCGTTCGTCTGTCATCCCCCCTCTCTCTTGTATTCACTGAATCCCCTCGAATCGTTGGCTCTTCCACCCCTTTCTGCTCCACACTCAGGTTTGTCTTGCTCCCTTGCACGATTCCCACACTCGTGCCATTTCCCTCTCTCTTCTTCCAAGCTCTTGCGTCCTGTTAGTGTCTCTACTCTCTCACTAGTTGTCTCTTTTGCTCTTCACCACTTTTGCGTCAGTCTCGTTCACACTCTGCGATTCCACTGGCTGTCTGTTTCTCTCGCTCTATCACCCTCGGCAACTCTCGCCGGACGCGACGGCAGGCACAAGCACGGGATAGAGGAGGGAAGAGCGCGTGCGCTTGAAATGGTGCCCTGATGCCCGGGCACCACTGCCTCCTCGCAGGTTCACAAATCTCTCCTCTGCCGTAACAAGTTTCGTTACAACGCATAGACATGGAGAGTCACAAGGAGCCCACTGAAGAGCGAGAAAAAGACAGAGAGGCAACACACACAAGAGGGACGTCGAGGAGGTGAAGAACAAGTTCCGTTACTACTTGGAAGCTTCGACGATCGGCTGAACCTCGTGTACACATACGGTCCGTTTGGCCACGCGACGGTTTATCTCATTCTTCGAGTCTGCAAACACACGGAAGGAGGATAAGAAATAGAGAGGAGCAAAGAAATCGTAGGACTCACGACTAGGACTCAAGGGAATTATTCTCCTGAATTTACAGGGATTATAGAAACGTTTACTTGCTTCTCTCGGGCTTTTACTGAAGTAAAATCCTTTTTCGATTTTTCTTTTAATTTTTTTTTTTTTTCATCTTCAGGAGCCGTTTTTCGTCCAAAATGTCGCCATTCATTTCCCTGGACGAACGAGTCACTCATCTCCTATGTTAAATTACTAAAAGCGAAAATTTAGATTCATGAATCTCGAGAACTACTGTGGGACAAGGGAAGCCAGTAATACGTTTCCGTAGTGAGGTGCCAAGGGTCGGCAGAAGCTATCGGATGAGTGGATACGCTTGGACGGTGGCTTTTCTACTATCTAGAGAATATGACAGACACATTGAATCAAGCATTCACTGCATATTTAAATCACTATCACAGTTCCCTCTCCTGTTCAATGACATTGTGGTTTCATCAAAGTATATCAAATCTCTTGATAGCGATAAATGTACGAGATAGTAGATGTGGAAATCCTTCTTCAAAACGTCTTTGGATTTTAATGACGTCCCTACGTGCTCGTTGAGAAAGATAGAGACGCGCACGTATGTCCCAAAGCTTCCACTCTGCTCTGGCGCGCACTGGTTAAAAGGATAGGAAGGAAGTCGTGACTGGCAGCTTCGTATCCGGGCTCACGTCGATGCCAAATAGATTGACTTGTCCAAGAGATTGAACACATGACCGACCCCTTATAAAGCTCTCTCTATTATCACTTAACTCTGCACTTACTTAAGGTATTATACCTATTAATCCCCTGAGAGTCTGTCACGTCGTTATGGGGTGTTAGCGAGTGGACATACTGATAATCAACGTTGATTCCGATGAAACTAGAATCTAACTGTTTTCTCACATGCTCGCGCTAATCTGTAAGCTTTCTCACAATGCGAGAACATGAGGTTCAACTTCTCCAACCCCGTGCTCTTACGGATTTCTACGTGTCGCATGATACAAGCCTATGTACGGATTTCAAATTCCATTGCCGATACGTGCATTAAGCAACCCGATTGTTTAGCAGGAGGATAAGCGGGGCAGAGCAACTTGCATTCGCCAGCCACGCATATTCTCGTGAATTGTATGTGTGCATCGCCAAGTACTCTGTAGTTGTATCACGGTTGTACTCGACGCGGAGTAACTGGAGTTGGGTCACTGTGAAGTCACAGTTAGAATCGTAATTGCCAGACCCTTTCCAACCGGAACATCGAACTCGGTCTCTTCCTCGCCCTCTATGCCAGCTGCATGTGCTACTATTCTACTTGGTACCACCCTTTCTCTATATATACATCTATATATGTCTGTGTATCGTTGTCTTAGGTATTCTATTGTTGGTAGCAAATTTCGGATTCTATTATCGATGCATCTAACTGTAGATCGCAATCGTGAATATATCGAGTATTGAATCTAGTTTTCCTCTTCCTATTTAATTCTCCTTGTGCAACTTCTCATCAAGGAAACCCCATCGCTAACATCACTTTGGTTGTATCCAAGCAACTTGATAATAACGAATTTTACTTTTCCTTCCTTCCTCATTCGTACTTCCATAGGGGGGACAGGGTGTGTGTGAGTGTGCAAGAACTCTCTCTCCTTCATCAGTGAGGATATAAACGGAGGTGAACAGGAAAACGGAAGACGACGCTCGTGAATCAACCACAAACCTCTCTTTCTATTGCGGGGGCTGGAAAGCAAAGATGGAAGCTCTACAAAGCCGCTCGAGTAGTTTCGCGGTCTATCGATACTAATTCCGCTTGGTGGCCCTTACCGATCGCCTTGGCTTTGCAAACTTCCTAACGCTATCATTTCTATCCCTTTTTCTCTTCTTCCCTTCAATACCTCTTTCTTCCTGTCTTGCTTTCACACTTTACTCTCAATCGAACTTTTTCTCTTTTATCCCCAGCTTTATCTCTTTGTTGTCCTACGGCTTTTGCAGTGATTTAGACAGCCAATCCAGTTAAATATAAGTGTAAAAATAACATCTCTCTATCTTCTTTTTTTCGTAAACTTTATATTCAGAGATAACAATTTTTCAAAAAAAAAAAGTTCCAATGGAAATTAAAAAATCTCACAATGGTAATCTTCAATAAAGTATTTCCTTAAACAATAGTGATAACTTTTTATGAGAGCTATATTTTCAAATCACTTCATATCCAATCATTCGGAATTATTTTTAATTGGATAATATTTCTCTCATTTTTATTCACCATAACACGTCAAAATGGATGGAATTTGTAAAAGAAATAATAGGACATGTAGTGTGTTAACGGAAATTTTAAAATAACTATTTTCATTCATTAATTCATGTTTCTCATCCTTAATCTGTCAAGGGTAATCTATGTATATTTCTAGCCATACGGTAATATTAATGAAAATTTGAACCTCATCTTGCCTCAGGTTCTCCAACATCCATACACAAGTGTACTCATGTTACTGTTATCACATGATTGAATATTTCAAGTTTAGCTTAGAATTATCTATTAAGGCATCTAATTTCAGAATTGGCCAAAATAACGACATACTTTCTTTAATCGAATAAAAAAAATTTATTTATTTTTCCAACAAATATATGTAAATTACTTTCACCAATTGAATTACAAATTTGATTGACCCTAGGAAAAAAAATAATACTGATTCTTATAAATATTTTATAAGAATTATACATGAACAGTATAAAAATCATATATGAAAAATTTTATTATCTGAATTCCATATCATTAATATCAAATTAATATCAAATTTATTTTATCAAAACATCCATAAATCATATAAAATTCAGATAAAAAATTTTTCAGTTATGAATTTTATACTGTTCATATAAGGCCAATTTCAGAGATGATTCTTATAAGGTTCAGTATTTTTTTTTTACTGATGATCAATCAGTAGTTTAGCATCAATTGACTGGTAAATCGATAAAGTAATAGTTGATAAATAAGAATTCAATTTTCATTATTAATAGTAAGTTTTAATTTTATTATGTTGAAGAATTTCTATTGAATATTATTTATTATTAATAGATAAAATAAATCAATAGTTTAATAATATCTTAAACAGTTCTAAAATACTAATCGATTTAATCAATTTATAAATGTCATTATATCTAATTTACAAAATAATTTATTTAAAAAAATCCAAAAAGTAGGTCAATTATTTGAAATTCCATTAATAAAACATAAAATAAAAAAAGTAGTAAGATGAATATCTCCATAAATGAGATAATAACTCACAAAAAAATCAATTAAACAATGCAATCCGTCAATCTTATTTATTTTTTGAATAGAATATCTTTCTCTTGAAATAATTGTAATGGACTTTATGATAAAATGGTTGATCGTTGTCGTTTACAAGCAAGCTCTATTTACTAAAATCGTAATCTCAATAATTAATAAGATCATGTCACTCTCTGTGTCATATATAATCTAATAATCGGGTAGCATTTCCAGAGATTTGACATAATACCAACTGTCAAACGTATAGAACCGATAGAGACTCTCTTCATGCATAGATACAAATATACGTCAGTAAGTCAATCGTAAATACTGAATTTCACTGACATACATTTTCAGAAATAGCATACTCTTTTTCTGCTCAATGTCTTTCTCTCAAGAGTCCGATTGATCGAAAGCAAAACGATGGAATGGAATAATAAATAGAGTATTTGAGATGTTAGCTTACAGAAATGTACCTTCAAGTTTGGATTTGGCTATGCATACACCTACTTACTCTACTAAACGACATGAACTCCTTGTCAAGAGGAGTCGAGGGAGCAGGCGTCATGCTTCGCTCGACCTTCCGTGAGATCGCGAACCATGACCAACAAACTACTGAGCTTTACGACGCTTTACTCTATATGTAGTACGACCTGAAGGAAGATTAGACGCTTCGTGAGAGAATGCTGGAGTCAAGGGAGCAATACTCGTATACAGAGGATAAAGTCTACAAATTATACATGGATACACTTTACTCGTTGAGCGAATAATCGTCCATTCCGTTTGCCAATTGATACAACGCTTCGTCACATTACCAACTTTGAAGAAATCTTACAAGATATTTAGTTGAATAATTGAACCACCTTTCTGCATTATTTATCTATTGAATTTATCTACGAAAAATGATTTCATTTATTTGATAAATCATTTTAGTTTCTTTGACATGTTTATCTCGTACAATATTTCATTAATATTTATTTCATTAAGCACAAACAAATTTTCATC